GTTCCTGCATGATCTGGATACACGCCTTAAGCTTAAGAGTCTCTGCAAAACCCTGTACATTCAGGCAAGCAAATCTGAGGCGCTGACCATAAGCTAGAGGCGGTGTGGTCGGGAAATGTACCGAATGATGGCTTCGTTTTCTTTTAAAACGCCGTTGCCAAAGGATAGCTTGTTTGAACCACTTCGCTCGGGACTGAGCGGCGTGTTGGGGACTGGGGCGCGCAAGGGGGCGGGGTCCCACCCTCAACCCCCCACCTTGTTTGCAATGTCTTCGCCACGCGCGGTACTCCCTCCGTCGGAGCCTGCGCTTGGCGCCCCTAGACTTTGCTTTTGCGCGCTCTCCTGTTGGGGTGCACTCTTCGTTACCCTGCGTGAGGGAACCCGGCGTGCCGCGTGGTGGCGGTGCTCGGCTACTGATTGTTGGTTTGAATTCTCTAATTCTACGAATTCGACGTTGTTTTCCCTTAAGGAAAACAGGTGTACCATCTTGGAGAAAAATTTTCTGACGACGACCCGAACGTTTCTTCGACTGTGTTGGCGGTGTGGTCGGGGTAAGCTGTGGCAGGGAGGGGGAATGGTATGCAGTATCGCGGGGTCCTCGGTATTGCAAAAGCAGCTGCCTACTGTACTGAAGCGGTATGGTCTTTTCAAGTGAAATTTGAACCGAAGACTTAAGGAAATCACCCTCCCATTGAAGTCGAAGCGGAATGTTCCCATTCACAATATGCATATATTTGTTATGTTCAGCAAAAGGATTCCAGGTTGTGGAAGCAGGCAGAAGCAGGGAACCTAAGTACCAAGGTTGGGGACAACGGGGCTTAAAGTTAAACGGGCCCTTTGTTTGGCGGTGTGGTCGCCCTAGCCAGACACCTGTCGCTCCTAGGCGGTGGCAGCATGCTCTCATTGAGAAAGTTTCAAAGGTGAGAGCTGCCTGCCAAAAAAGAGGAGCTTCACACCGCCCAGTGAAAAGCTTCAAAGGGGGCGGTGTGATCAGGAAGATCAGCTCAGCCCACGACCAACCTTCTGTAGCGGTGTGGTCGCGAGGTGGCTTTGCAAAAGTACTTCGGCCAACCCATCAGCTCGACTTGGCAGACTTGCCTCCTTTCGGGCCACTGCCACGGCCCCATCCTGTGCCGACGTCCTCTTGCATCTCCACATCGTCCGAGTAGAGGAACGGGTCGCGACCGATGTCGGCGGCGGTTTGGTCTGGGGCAGCCGGCTTCCCTCGAAAGGTACTGATGGCATAGTCCCCGACCTTCTCCGCTGTCTTGCCCTTCTTGTCGCAGTATTCATCCCAGACGAAGGCAACCTCATCGACCTTAACCAAGGTCAAGTTGAAAGGATAAGGGCAATAATAGCTGTTCCAAATCACCGTGTTGCTCCAGTGCTTTTTGCCCTTGCCCTTTGCAACTCCCTTGCCAGACATGGCAGATTCCTGCAAAGCTGTCCGGGCTGCGGTTTGGTCGGCCTGGTCCAGCTCATACTGTGCTCCCCAAACCATGTTGTTCCAGGTCTGGGTCCACAAGGACTCCGAGCCTTCCCCCACCTCAGTCGGTGGGGCTTCCATGAGGCGTGCCAGCTCGGGCACCACCTCCAAACGGCCCACGAAGTCCCCCTTGTCCTGAAAATAGAACAAGCGTGCCCATGCCTTGGCGTCTTGGTCAAAGTCTTCGTCGTCCTTTGGGGCCATCACGGTAAGAGTTTTCCACAGTATCATCATCTTGTTCCCACCGGCGGTGTAGTCGGGGTGGTTGTTGATCACAGACAGGATGATGCGAAGTGGCAGCTCGAGTTTGCGTTGCCATTGTGGACTCGAGGGGCTGACCCGAATGTGCTTTCCATGCACAGGGGTGCTCTCGTCCGAATACAGTGGCGTTCCTGCTGTACCACCAAACTTCGCCATGAAGTCCTGCCGAGTGTCCCAGCTCTTGAACGACAAAAGGGTCATCGTTGAGAAGAAGTCGTTCTGCTGCGGGATGGTCGTAGGGTCCTGGGTCAAAGCATTGATGTACCTCGGCATCTCATGGGCGGTTTGGTCCGAGATAAAGCCCCGGAACTTCAGGAAGTCGACGATCTTCGGGCACTGTGCCAACATCCAGCCCACCATGAAAATACGCTGGTCTGGCTTCATA